ACAATGAAACACCTCCTAATAAAAAAATAGTTTATTTTAAAATTAAGTTACACAATTTGTAAAATTTTTTATTTTAATAAAAAAATGTAAACTTTATTATATACTTATCTCTATCATCTTAACCATCAAAAATGTAAATATAATAGTCTCCACATTTAAGTCATTAGAAAATTTAATTTGCTCAAATTTGATTTACCATGAAAGATCAACGTGTCATGCTTAAGGGGTTTTTCCTTCAATGAATTTAAAACAGTATCAAACAACTATTTACAATTAATTGATTAAAAATAATATTTTATTTAATTAAGGAGAAATGAAATTAAAATCTATCATGTAATAACATCAATATAAATTATTTTTGATGTTTAGTATGTCACTCCATGTGAACAACATTACAACTATTTGTTTGCTTTTTTTGTGGAGTCTCAACACCGACTAAAACTCCAATAACATCTAGAGTTTTAATAACAATATTTTTAATAAAAATGAATCATATGTTTATTTAATAAAATTATATTAAGATAAAAAAATACCACAAAAAGAATTTTTTTTCCTCAAGTAGGCTTTCATAGTTGGTGAATTCAAATATAAATCTTGAAATTACTGAGACTTCTTCATTCAATTCTTTGATTATAGCATCAAGATGGAATTGGATTCTCTAATTGTTATAAGAAACAACGATATGTGTTCATATATTTTTTTCTATAGAAAATTTTTTCATGTGATAAACATTCCTTTCAACCAACTTATCTTTAAATCGCAAGGCATTTATTCCAAATTACAACATGAATAAAATTTTTCTACAAACAAAATAATAATTATTAATAAAAATTGTTAAATATATAAAAAACTAAATTTAATAACTCATAAAATTAGCTTCTCATGTATCAAAACCATTTAAGTAGTTAGATGATTTTTGTCATATTTCAAACTAAAAACATCCCACAGTGTACATATTCACACTTTAATCTTCTAATCTTTGTTATTGGAAGAAAATTGATTAAGAAATACACATTTCATATCTTTTGTTTTGATTTACCTATAAATATTTTAAAAATTTTATTACCAAAATATTTTGAAATATGAGAAAAAATGTGTTATAATTAAGGAAAAAAGAAATTAGTGGTTAAGATCAAATATATGTTTATATGGAGAAAAAGAAATCCTAGCAACTATACCCTGCAACCAAATTTTGGATTTAGAAAAATCTTTAAAACAAAATAACAATAAAAAAATGTAGGGAGTTTAAATAGTTAACACTTGACTTTTCATCTTTTTTTTGTTGGATAATTTTTTTTTCCATTTTTCTTTCTTTGGTTGCCTCTTAATCTGCCACATTTATTCATTAATCAATTATTTTTAATTATTTTTATCATTTACATATTTTCAGTTTTTTGTCTCTTCATTTATCACTTTCATTATCATTTATAATTTTCTCTTTTTGCCATTTATATTAATAATATAATAATAACTATATATATAATGCTACCCGCATTAAATAGGGTAGCATTTTCTATATATTTAATATATAATAATAATAATAATAATATATATGATATATATATATAGATGTGATAAGGTTTATTTGGAAATGGTAAACTATATATAGATGAAAAGAGATTCAACTTTTTTTATTTTATAAGTCAACAAATTAACTTTTATAAAAGGCAGTAGGAACATACTCAACTTTACAAGAGAAAAAATTTTGTCACTAAATTATATCCCTCATCTCATATTAAATATAAGAATAGTGATTGATATACATTTTAATTGGATACACTGTATAACATGCTCATTAAAAAATTATCTTTTAAATATGAAATTAAAAGCAAATAAACTTAAAGATATAGTCATTCATATAGGATGCAAGAATCAACTAAATTGATTGTATTTATGTTATATTTTAGTTATATTTTAATAGTTAAACTGATATAAATGTTAAAAAGTGTGTTAAATTGAGTGTGTATTAATCATTTTTCTAAATTACAAAGTTCTCTTTTTTAAGCAAAGTTCAATTAGGTGTGATCAATTAAGAGATATATAACTTATATGTCCAATGGTTCTCTAAGTGATTTATGTCATAGCTCTAAACATAAATTAGGCTATTTTGATGGCTTGAGCCAATAAAAAGATCTTACCTTCACTAGTTCCACCACCCTTTTCCTTTCTTCTTTCTTGACTTTAAACATGAGTTGGCTTATCCATAGCCAAATGGACTACATAGTTGTGAACCAAATATTGTAACCCAAGCCCCCAAGTCGGTTCCTCAACCAAAAATTAGTTACATTAATTTTTTAAACATATCATGTAATTTGGTAGGAAAAGAGAGAATAATCATGAGAAAATACATATTTGATTATTTTGCCAAATGCATATTACATTTTTTTATTCGTACACATAGTGCAATATGTGTTGATCTGAAGCAATATATTAAGATAGCAAAGAGCAATATATATGCTTAAGACATCTTCGGGGGGGTGCCAGGGGGGTTGTGTATTGGATTAGGTCCACCAGGTACATTCCTATCTGTATCTATAGTTGATGCAAAGACATGCTGGTAATGCTCCAGCTTCTTTTCATCGTAGCCTAGTTCTTGTAAAAGAAGGTGGCTCTCAACCTTATTTTGAAAAAGTGGTCGTGCTAGAGTGCTTAATGCAACAACCATCAATACAGCAAAGAAAACCATTCTTGCAGCAGATTGCTTAGCCATGATCCTTAAAAGCAACAAGATTCCGTGCAAGGTTTTCAAGGTACGTAACTGTAGAAAAAAGAAGGAGAAATATTTGAAGAAAAGTTTATTTCTTTCTTGAATGATATTGTATGTTGTATGTACAATGACTTATATATAGGTGTTTACAAAAAGAATATTCTGAGGTATAAAGTATATAAAAAGAATATTCTAAGGTATAAATGTGAATATAATCTAAATTATTGTGTTCACATCTTAATAACCCCCTCAAACTCAAGGTGGTTGTGATGAGACCAATTTGAGTTTGGAAAGAAAAGTACGAAAGCGTCCAAGAAAATGAGCCTTAGTGAAAAGGTCTGCCGGTTGATTAGCGGAGCCAATAAAAACCAAATGAATAGTTCCTTGTGTAACATGATGGCGAACAAAGTGACAGTCAACCTCAATGTGTTTATTGCGTTTATGGAAAACATCATTATGAGCAATTTGCATGGCACTCTGATTGTCACAATAGAGATTAGTAGCAGGTGGTTGAGAAACACCTATATCTTCTAGTAGCCAACGTAAATTAAGTAACTTTGATGTGGTGTCTCCAAGTGCTCGATATTTAGCCTCTGTGCTAGAATGTGATGGAACTGTTTGCTTCTTGCTATGCCAAGAGATTAAGGAATCGCCAAGAAAAAAACAATATCCAGTGGTGGATTTACGATCATTAAAGTCTCCAACCCAATCAGCATCAAAGTAAGCATGAAGTTCAAGAGATGAATGAGCAGAAAAGTGAAGTCCATGAAACATGGTACCTTTAATATACCGAATAATGCAAAGTACTGCTGCATAGTGAATGGAGCGAGGCGTAGTCATAAACTGACTAACAACATGAACTGTATAAGCTATGTTTGGTCGTGTTGTAGTGAGATAAATCAAACTTCCAACCAACTGTCGGCAGCGAGTAGGATCAGCTAATGGAGAACCATCCATGGATGTAAGTTGAACATTGTGCTCAAGAGGAGTAGATGCAGTCTTACTATCAGTGAATCTAGCTTTAGATATAAGATCAGAAGCATATTTTGTTTGAGAGAGAAAATAACCATCATTAGAAGAGGTGACCTCAAGGCCTAAGAAATAGCTCAAAACACCAAGATCTTTCATCTCAAACTTATGACTAAGAAATTGCTTAAGATCATGAATACCTAAAATATCATCCCCAGTAATGATCATATCATCAACATAAAGAAAAAGTAGAACCATACCATGATCAGTCTTGCGTAGGAACAGTGCAGTATCATGAGGACTAGAAGTAAAGCCAAATTCACTAATGGTGGTACTAAACTAGGCTCGAGGTGCTTGTTTCAAACCATATAAAGCTCGCTTCAATAGGCAAACTTTTTTTGGAGGATGCTCAAGTCTAGGAGGTGGTTTCATGTAAACTTCTTCTGAAAGATCACCATTTAGAAAGGCATTTTTTCACATCCATTTGAAATAATTTCCATCTTTTTGTAGCAGCAATAGTAATCAAACTACGAACTAAAGTAGGACGAGCAACAGGTGCAAAGGTTTCCTCATAATCAATCCCATATTCTTGAGTAAATCCTTTAGCAACCAAACGAGCCTTGTAACGCTCCACGGAACCATTAGACCGAGTTTTGATCTTGTATATCCATTTACAACCTATTAGAGGCTTTCCAGCAGGAAGATCAACCAAATCCCATGTACGAGTTTTGTCAAGAGCTTGTAATTCATCTTGCATAGCTTGCTGCCAAATAGGGCTAAAAGAGGCCTCTTGGTAGAATTGAGGCCCATGTAAGGAGGTGATAACAGGAAAGCAATGATAATCACAAAGATAGGTAGGAAGATTTCTTACCTGAGTAGGATGACTTGAAGGTGGATTAAAGATCTCATTTTCAGGCTCAAGATCAACAGGGTTAGGTCCAATTGGTGATATAGAAGAGGTAAGGGAAAAAGACTCAGCATTGTCTAATACATTACCTGCAGGCAGAACATCTTCAATAAAACCAGGTGGAGCATGTGGAGAGGCATCATAGAGCTCATCAAATGTATCTGCATCAGAGTTACTAGGAAATAACTCAATAGAAGAGTTAGTAAAAAGTGGAGGTTGATCAAAAGATGACACCTGGAAGTTTGATAATGAGGAAAACATAGTGTGTTCCCAAAAGACAACATGACATGAGATTCAAAGTTTTTGTGACATAGGATCCCAACAACAATATCCTTTATGTGTAATCCCATAACCCAAAAAACAACACAATCGAGCTTTAGGCTCTAACTTATTATGTTCATGAGGTGGAAGAAGAACAAAACAAGTACAACCAAAAACCTTAAGAAGATCATAGTCAAGAGGAATACCAAGCAAACATTCATATGGAGACTTATTATTGATGATTGATGATAGAATCCGATTAATGAGATAAATAGCTGTAAGAGCAGCTTCACCCCAAAATCGCTCTGGACAAGAAGACGAAATGAGCAAAGCACGAACAGAATCAAGAATGTGTCTGTGTTAACATTCGGCTCGCCCATTTTGTTCAGAAGTGTAAGGACAAGATTGTTGTGCCAATGTACCTTGTTCTTTCAAAAAGGATTGAAGTTTAGTACTAAGATATTCCGTGACATTGTCAATTCTCAAAACTTTGATAATTTTAGAGAACTGAGTTTTGACCATGGTAGCAAAATCAATATAAATTTGTGGCAACTCAAAGCGATTTTTCATAAGATATATCAAGGTAAAACAAGTATGATCATCAATAAATAACACAAAATACCTAAAACCCCCCATGGTAGGTGTTGGAGATGGACCCCAAATATCAAAATGCACGAGATCAAAAGAAGCAGTAGAAAGAGAATGACTACTAGTAAACGATAAAGCTGGTTGTTTTGCAGATTGACGTGACACACAATGTAAACATTCATTTGGAACAGATCCTAATAAACCATGAGAAATGAAAGGATGGAGTTTACCGACTGAGGTGTGTCCGAGCCATGAGTGCCATAAACGAAGAGGAGAAACATTAGTAGCAACACAGGCTTGGAAGATTTGTTGATATGGAATTTGCAAAGACTCTAATTCAGCAGTACAAAGCAGGGTTTGGATAAATTGGTCATTTGGAAATGATGGTGTATCCATTTTATAATTAGGTATATGCAGATAATTGAGCTCAAATAGATGCCCCACCTTGCGACCAATTCCAAGAAGTTGTCCAATCTGTGGGTCTGCACAAGACAACCATGAGTAGAAAAAGTTATTTCAAGACCAAAATCACATAACTGACCAATAGATAAGATATTATAACTAAGTTTTGGAACCAAGAACGCGTTTGGTAAAGTCAATGAATTTGTAGAAATATTGCCAATGTGACTAACATTTATAGGAGAGCCATCAACAGAATAAATGTCAGGAAAGGAATTATTTGGTAACATTAAAGAAAAATAAGTAGTAGTTGAAGACATGTGATTACAACAACCAGAATCGAAATACCAAGGTTTAGTATATGGCACATCAAATAAGGTAGTAGGAGCATTAAGAAGATTTAATATCACATGTTTTAAAGATTCAGGGTTGACAATAGGTTGGTCTATCACCTCTTTGGCAACCATTGCAGCAGTAAGATGAGTCATAGTTCTTTGAAAACTCGCCATAGAATCAATAGAACTCATAATACTGAAAAAATCTCTAAAAGTATGAAGAAATAGATGTCAAGATCGAAATTACAATTAATAAGATACCTCAAAAAAGGCGTGAGAATTGAGAATAAACAATCCAATTTGTAGGAGAAGAGAACTCAACGACAAAGTTTCAGATCTGGAATAGATCTAAAAATCCAACTCAATAACCAAGCAGTGATAAAAGAAGAACCAGGAGCTTATAACTCTAATACCATGTTAGAAAAAAGAAGGAGAAATATTTGAAGAAAAGTTTATTTCTTTCTTGAATGATACTGTATGTACAATAACTTATATATAGATATTTACAAAGAGCATATTCTGAGGTATAAAGTATATAAAAAAAATATGCTAAGGTATAAAATATTTACAATTTCTTTTCATCTTTTATTTCCCAATTGCTACGGTTGGCTTGTTTTTTGGGTGTTGTTGCTTAAGAGGTATCGCCCTGGTTTCTCGGGCAAACTAATGTCGTTTTTCTCTGTCGCTTATCTTCTTCTTTCCATTTTACATATTTTGTGTTTGGAAATTGGAATAAATCAAAACATCTATGTTTCACTTTTTAATGGATTACATGCATTTTCTCCTCGTAACGTTGCCACTTTTTGTTTTTTTTTTTTTATCCTTATTTGGAAAATGTCACTTTCTATGTTATAACCTTATCTTTTTACACATTGTAATTTTTTTGGACCATGATTGGTGCACACCCGGATCCCACAGCCGGGTGTGCACCCCCCACATAAAAAATAAAAAAAAAATTGGACCAGGTGATAGGTATTTTTTTTTTTTATGTGAGGTGTGCACACTCAGGTGTGCACACATCTTTATCCAATTTTTTTATCTACTTTTTAATTGTATCAATGGTGGAGTAATACATTATTCTCCATTAATTTCAATAAAATTAATTATTTCTTTAAGTGCAATTATTTTATCGAGCAAACAATTTTTTTTATAGAATCAGTTAAACAAAATTAATTCGTTCTTATTCAGGGGCATTTTAGTTGCTTGAGTTTCAAATTTTTTACATTAGAAGCTTCCAGTTGAGACTGTGTGATAAATAAGGGATTTACAAATGAAGAATGATATCCCTTGTTTGGATTAATTGTGATGTAACTAATAGCTAATAATAGTTATTATTGTTTATAACTGAAAGAATGTAATCCATTCAATTGAAGTCCATAATTGATAATTGTTTCCTAAAATATAAAACGAACCCCCACTGAGACCATCTATGCACTAGGGTGATGGACATCAAGCTAGCTTTTATTGGGCTGAGTGTATTTTAGACAAGCCCAAGGCCCAAGATTAACTCAATCAAACCCAAGATCAAGACGGGTTAATAATTTTGCACCCAAACCAAATTGGCTTAGCCTGGTTGAAAACCGAAGTTCGTTTACAAATTAATATAACAATCATTTTATCCACCAATAATTTTTCAGAATATTGATTAAAATTAAAATTTTTGAAGGTAGAACTATAATTTTTTAAAGAGTTAATAACTAATATGCACAATTTTTTTGTATATATAAATTAGGGATCAACATACACACATTTGAAAGTCTTACATAAATTTAAAGTCTTGCATTAGAATCACATCCATTTAGTTTTGAAAGACATGTACAAGTACTTGTTTTCTCCAAAATGCTTCCCTTTCAGATATCAGTAATTATTATGAACACTAGGTAATGAAGTTTCAAAACAATATAACATCGGATTAGTAATTTACCAAAAGTTATGACCCATATTAGCAGTCTCATATGGCAGAAACAACAAAACCTTGAGGAAAGTTTCGAGTTTTTACAAGTGTTGTATCATGCCAAGAAATGCAGAATAGGATGCACAAAAGGTAACATTCATAACTTTCATGACTTCTTTTCGAGATACTTCCTTGTCATTTATAGTATCTTCACTAAGTTAGAATATTTCAGTTTATTTTCAATTGACTTCCCTAAAACATTTGAAATTATTTTCATTAGTTCATGTGACAAAACTCTCACAAAATTCTGTCAGTATATTTGAATAATAGCTATTCTTCAAACAATTAGCCTAGTCACGTATGACAAAATTTAGTGAGAAAGTTGAGACCTTAAAATTTAGAATTACCAAAACTTAGAATGGAAGTACATTAAAATTTGGAATAGGTGCGATATGTTGAATGAAGTTCATATTTTTGTAGTTTTCGAAGTACTGTGCCATCACATGCTGCAACAATTTAGTGTCTGATTTTTTGATGTAATTTAACCTTTGGTTAGGTAGTTTTTTGTTAACTTTCTGTCAGTATAGACACTTGAGTAGGGGGCTAAAATTAAGCTACTTGTAGTTTGGTAAACTACTTTTCCCCTTTCCCAAAAGCTAGTGTTTATTTTGCATAAAAGGAGAAATCAATGATCATTTCTGTGTTCTGCTCATTTTTCTCTTTGTTTTTTTCTCTCCTTTTTTTTCCTTTGAGCAAAAACACTACATGGTATTAGAGCCTCCTCTGATCCTTGAGAGGCTGTTAGGGAGTGAAAATTGAGTGTGAGTGACACCCAAACAGAACCCAAACACCTTGAACCCCAAAAATGGAATATGGTTCTAGTTTCATAGCAAAAACACCAGTTTTCAATGGTCATAACTACCCAGTTTGGTCAGTCAAAATGAAGGCTTATCTAAGGGCCTTCAACCTTTGGGAAGTGGTGGAAACTGACCGGCAGCCACCACCTTTAAGGCAGAATCCCACCTTGGCTCAGATAAAGCAGCATACTGAAGAAGTTACGAAAAGGTATAAAGCCTTGACTTGTATTCATTCTATAGTAACTGATGAGATTTTCGATAGAATTATGCGTTGTGAAACAGCCAAAGAAGCTTGGGACTTGTTGAAGGTAGAGTTTCAGGTGACAGCAAGGGAATTCAGATGCAAGTTTTGAATCTGAAAAGGGAATTTGCTGTTTTGAGGATGAATGAGTCTGAAACTGTCAAAGAGTTTTCAGATAGAATAATGAAGATTGTGAATCGAATCAAATTGCTGGGTGATGAAGAACTCTCTGATAAGAGGGCTGTTGAGAAGGTGTTGGTCAGTTTGCCAGAAAAATTTGAGCACAAGATTTCCTCTTTGGAAGACTCCAAGGATCTTTCCAAAATTCCCTTAACTGAACTTATCAAACTCTTTACAAGCTGTTGAATAGAGAAAAGCCTTAAGGTCCGAAAGCAATGTGGAAGGTGCTCTCTTGGCTACCGAAAAGGGTAAAAACCAACAAAAGGAAGGAGCAAAGAGGCAATTTTTTGATAAGAAATGGAAAGAAAAGAAGGAGTTTCAAAGAGATTTCAAGGGCGGTAGATACAAGGGTAAAAAGGAGTCATTTCCTCCTTGTATTCACTGCAAAAAGACAACTCACACTGAAAATTTTTGCTGGTTCAGGCCTAGTGTTCAGTGCAGGTCTTGTAAACAATTTGGTCATGTTGAAAAGGTCTGCAAATCAAAAGTAAACTCTAAAGCACAAGCTCAGATTGTAGAGAAACTTGATCAACAGGAGGAGAAGTTGTTTGTGGCCACTAAAGTGGAAGCTTGCTGTGCTATGAATCTTAGTTGTAATGTTTGGTTGATAGACAGCGGATGTACTCACCATATGACTCTAAATGAGAGCTACTTCAAAAGCCTTGACAAGAGTTTTACCTCTAAAGTTAGATTGGGTAATGGAGAGCTAGTAGAAGTCAAAGGAAGGGGAGTAGCAACTATTGATACACCAACAGGTATCAAGCTTATTTATGATGTTCTATTTGTTCCTGAGATTAGCTACAGCCTTATTAGTGTTGCTCAGCTTGTTGAAAACAAATACGTTTTGCACTTTCATGACAAGCTCTGTGATGTATTTGATGAATTTGGAAATTTGTTGTTATCTGTTAAAATGCTTGATAGGAGTTTTCCTATTGAATGGAAAGAAACTCAGATAAAGGCTTGCGTGAGTACTGTTGATAATTCTTGTGTCTGGCATAAGAGGTTTGGTGACTCTAGTTATCAATCTTTGCTATTGATGCAAAAAAAGAGCATGGTTTTTGGTATGCCTCTTGTTCATGTTGATGAACATGTTTGTAAAGTGTGTCAGCTTGGTAAGCAATCGCAATTGCCTTTTCCATCTGGTCAAGCTCATAAAGCTTCTATGAAGTTGCAGCTAGTTCACACTGACATTTGTGGTCTTATGAAGACTGCTTCTTTAAGTGGAAATAGATATTTCTTGATTTTTATTGATGACTACAACAGATTTTGTTGGGTGTATTTTCTGAAACATAAATCAGAGGTATTTGATGTTTTCATCAAGTTCAAAGCCTCGGTTGAAAATGAGTGTAGTTTGAATATTAAAACACTTAGATCTGATAATGCAGCTGAGTATACTTCTCATAGATTCCAACAGTTTTTGCAGCAACATGGAATTCATCATCAGCTCACAATTCCTTACACACCTCAACAAAATGGTGTGAGTGAAAGGAAAAATAGATCTATTTTGAATATGGCCAGGTGTTTGCTATTTGAGAAGAACTCGCCCAAGAATTTTTGGGCTGAAGCAGTTTACACTGCTGTGCATTTGCAGAATAGATTGCCAACAAAAGCTATTGAAGGCAAAACTCCTTTTGAAGCTTGGTCAGGGAACAAACCTGCTGTAGATCATTTGAAAGTTTTTGGTTGCATTTGCTATGTATTTATACCAGATGAAAAGAGAGGCAAGTTGGATGAAAGGGCAAATACTTGTGTTTTTATTAGTTATAGCCTATAGTCTAAAGGTTATAGAGTTTTCAACCTTAAGACTCAAAAGATTGAAGTTTGTAGAAGTGCTAAGTTTGATGAAAGTGCAGCATGGGACTGGGAAAAATCCCAAGTTACAAACTCAAATCATGTTGCTAAATTGAATGACAAACCAGAACTTGAAGCAGATTTTGATGATGCAGCTAATGAATTAGATTTAATTGATGATGCACCAGTGAGAGGAACTAGAACCTTGGAAGACATTTATAGTAGATGCAATTTGTCTACTGTTGAGCCTTCAAATTATTATGAGGTTGCAAATTCGGATGCATGGAGAGCAGCAATGAAGGAGGAGCTCAAAATGATTGAAAAAAATGACACCTAGACTTTGGTTGACAGACCAAAAAATAAAAACATCATAGGTGTTAAATGGGTATATAGGGTCAAGATGAATTCTGATGGCACCATCAACAAATATAAGGCAAGATTGGTGGTGAAAGGTTACTCTCAATTGGCTAGAATTGATTTTATTGAGACCTTTGCACCTGTAGCAAGACATGAAACTATCAGACTGTTGTTGGCTCTTGCTGCACACAAAGGCTGGAGTGTCTTCCATCTTGATGTCAAATCAGCATTTTTAAATGGCAAATTGGAAGAAGAAATATTTGTTGAGCAGCCAGAAGGGTTTGTGCAAGATGGTGCAGAGAATAAAGTTTATTTGCTTAAAAAGGCCTTGTACGAGCTAAAACAAGCTCCTAGAGCTTGGAACTGCAAAATTGATGATCACTTGCTGAGTCTTGGATTTGAGAAGAGTCTAAGTGAGGCTACTCTTTATGTGAAAAAGAAGAATGGAGTACTTGTTATAGTCTCCATATATGTTGATGATTTGCTGGTCACAAGAAATGATGAAGTTGCTTTGAATCAGTTCAAGATTGACATGCTACAAATTTTTGACATGAATGATCTGGGCAAAATGACATATTTTCTTGGTATGGAGATTGATCAGTCCAGCAAAAGCATTTTTATTTGCCAAAGAAATTTTACGGGTGAGATTTTGAGCAAATTTGCTATGTCAAACTGCAGGCCAGTTAGTACTCCTTCTGTGTCAGGAGTTAAATACAAAGCCATTGATGGTTCAACAAATGTTGATGCAGGGGTATATAGAAGTATGATTGGCAGCCTTCTATATTTATCTGCTACCAGACCTGATATAATGCATGTTGTTAGTTTGCTTTCAAGGTTTATGCATTCACCTACTAAAGTTCATCTCAAGGGTGTTAAAAGAATATTCAGATATTTGAAGGCAATTGCTGGTTTTGGTGTTTTCTATCCTAGAGCTGAGAAAATTAAGTTACTTGGCTTTTGTGACAATGGTTGGGCAGGGTCTGAGGATGATATGAAAAGCACCACTGGTTTTTGTTTCACGCTCGGATCAGGTGTTATAAGCTGGTGTTCTCAAAAGCAAGATGCACTTGCACATTCCACTGCAGAAGCTGAATATATAGCTGCTGCAACTGCTGTGGATCAGGCTATTTGGTTAAGGAAATTGTTGGTTGATGTTCATCATGCTCAATCCAATCCTACTAAAATGTTGTGTGATAGCAAAGCTGCAGTTGCTATTGCTAAAAATCCAGTCTTTCATGGAAAGACAAAACATTTTAAATTGAAGAATCATATTGTTAGAGTTGCAGAAAATGATGGTGATATTGTTATGGTGCACTGTTCCTCTGAAGAAAATGTTGCTGATATTTTCACTAAGGGCTTACAGAAGATCAGATTTGAAGCTCTTAGAAACAAGCTTGGAATTTGCAGCTTGGATGCCAAGAAGGAGTGTTGAATGAAGTTTAGATTTTTGTAGTTTTCAAAGTACTGTGCCATCACATGCTGCAACAATTCAGTGTCTGATTTTTTGATGTAATTTAACCCTTGGTTAGGTAGTTTTTTGTTAACCTTCTATCAGTATAGACACTTGAGTAGGGGGCTAAAATTAAGCTACTTGTAGTTTGGTAAACTACTCTTCCCCTTTCGCGAAAGCTAGTGTTTATTTTGCATAAAATGAGAAATCAATGATCATTTCTGTGTTCAACTCATTTTTCTCTCTGTTTTTTTCTCTCCTTTTTTTTCCTTTGAGCAAAAACGTTACACGATATATAGATTACTGAAGAAAAAAAAACAAAAAACAAAACAAAGCATGAGATTTTTCTTTAATCTTTTTATTGCTAGTTGATGAGCTAAATTTATATACATATTAATAGGGAATTTTTACTTTGATATTATTAATATTTGGATGAGTTTTATGGGATTTTGTTTGATTTTACATGGTTTTCATTCTTTGTGTAGGAAAGGATTTAATTGAAAGAAATTTTACTTTTTAAAAGTAAATTGAAGAGATCAGAGACTTGAGGATCAACTTGTGCAGAATCCAGAAGTCAGGAACCAAATCTATTATTTTACCATTGAAGAACTTGCAAAAGGAGACCCGACACGGGTGTAGTGTCGACACGTAACCGAGGTGTCGACACCATGCGTTAAACGTCCAGAATCAGATTCTGTTTCTTATTTTGTGTCAACACGTAATCCGAAGTGTCAGCACTACGCGATCAGCATCCAAAATTCAATTTCCTATTTCTGTTCCAAGTCCTACTTCTATTTCAATTAGGGTTTCTAAAATCCTATAAATATTCATCCAAATTTAGAATTTGGAGAGTTTTGAGAGGCTGGTGGCAGCCCTCTTTTGGGTATTATTAGAAATCAAGATTGAGGTTCCATCAACGATAGAAGATCAATGAGTTCATTTCCTCAAATTGGGTTTGTTTTTCCTTTAATTTTTATCTATTATTTGATATTTGAATGTTCATAACTTTGATTTCATATTTTATTATTTTTATTATGAACTGATTTATTCTACTAAGGTTACGATGTAGCCTAATCAATTCAATATGAATTTAGTAATTTTATACTTTCAATTAAAGTTATTTGCATGAGAAGTTTATATTATTCAACTTAATGCATTGGAAGTCTGATCACCTTTCAATTGATTTAGTGATTTATGCATGAACTTGATAAAGAATTGCGTAGATTAGACCAATAATAATATAAACCGTGTGCTAGACTATGAGACCGAGAGGTAATTAGCTCACATGTGGTAATGGAGGAAGAGAAGAGAGTTAGGAGCTCCCCTTCTTAAGCTAGAGGTTTCCATAGAATTTAATGCTCATAAGTTTGTTTAAAATTATATAGAGATATGATTAATTTAACAAACAAGTGAAGGATTAACTTGACTTGAGAAAGCTAGTTAATTAATTTAGGAAAATCTGCCATCACATGCAATAACACTCAACAATTTGGTAATCCAGAATTTATATTGATTGATTATGGTAAAGTCAATGCCTTAATACCTTATATCTTGGTTAGGTTTAATTTAATTGTTATTTTTCTTTTATTATTTTTTTAGTTAAACATTTTTCTCATTTGGTTGTTCAAATAAATTTGGATTAATTATTTTGGTACTTAGTTAGACACAATTCTCGTGGGTTCGACACTCTTCACATTATTATATTAATTGAAGCGAGTACTACACTTGCTAGGGTGATTTTAGTGCATCACTAGTCTCTAATTTAATCATAATGATTTTAGAAATTATTCCCTATATTTAACCATGGACTTTCCATCTTAAACAGGACAAACGAATGTTTGAAGTTTCATCTAATATTAGTTTAGTGAGTCACCAAGAGTTTACTTTGAAGATGACCAGCAAGGAAAGTGCGACAAGCGTGTGTTAATGATGATGATGACAATAAACTAAATGGATCTTTGGCCGAAGAACAAGATAAATCCTTTTTTTTTTTAATTCTAGCCACATCTGACAATTTTGTATTAGTCTCAAAAAATTAGTGTAATCATGTAAAGAAGATTGAACTTCAGATAAATATGGATTAGTGATTTACCAAAACTTAATTCATCTCTATCCTATTAATCATAAAAAATTAACTATTCCAATAACAAATATTGTCTAAATTCGTTGAACAATAATAATGACCTAAGCATAGAAGGTGTTGTTACTCTCGATTATTATGCTGGCTCTCCCAAACATATGGCTTAAAAATTTAAACTTTTTTTGTTGGTTGTTACATTTCATGTGTGCCAGTCTACATGGTTATTTTTTAACATATGGTTTCGTGTTTTAATAATTTTTAATAAAAATATTATTTTATTAGTAAATCAAAGCATTCTCTATTCATATAGATTCAATTCCATTCTAAATTTGATACTTCATATCTTTAACTCAAAAAATATGGTGAAATTAACCTTATCGGCACACATCTGTATTGTTGACCTTTTAGTTTGCCAAACTTAAAAAAACCATTGTTATCAATTTTTTCATATATTTAAATAATTGTTTACACCATTGTAGATAATACTACAATATTTGACCAACTAAACAATAAACTAAACAAAAATGAAATAACAATTTGTAGGGCATTTTGGCAAGGTGCTCTAGCTAGTTCAACCCAAAAAATCCCTGTAAAAACCCTTGAAGATCAATATGAATTCTCCATTTTCTCTCCTCATCACCTTAGAAGTTGTCAAGCTAATTAAGCTTCTGACAATTCTGTGGTAGTGAAAATTTTCAGCATGTTGGAAAAAAATTATATGTTTTATTCCCCGATTGTTGTGTTGGCTTGTTTCTCGAGTGTTGCTGCTTAATAGGGGTGGCAATTTGCCCCAACCCCTATGGGGCACCGCAGGGATCCCTGTCATGTGGCGGGGTGGGGGGAGAAGGAATATTCTTCCTTGCAGGGTAGGATGGAGGCCATTTTCCCCTATGATATTGCGCAGAGAATTTTCCTTGCCCCATGAGGCACACGAGGCCCCTTGGTGATCCCCATCCCCTTATAAAAATTAAAAAATATATATGTTAATTTTATTTTAAATTTAATTCAATCCATTATAGCAATATATGATATATATTTCAAACTCAAACCCAATCCAATAAAATTAAACTTAACCCAAATATGTTGGTCTAGCCATTTATGTTGAATTGATCTTTATTTATATTTGGAACAAGTCTTTTGATTTAGTTATTTATATTGAATTGATTTTTATTTATGTTTGAATAATTTATATTTGATTTTTTATTTATAAAATCTTAATTAATTGTACTTAAATTTTTAAAATTTTGTTCATTGTAATTGAATATTGTTAATTATATATAA